CATATATACATTTGTACTATTAATGCACATCTATATATATATATATATATATATATATATATATTCATCTCCACGAATATACTCCCATTGACTTGAAGTATTTGCTTGCTGCGTTTTGTTGGTTAATGTGTTTAATTAATTTATTTAGAGATTTTGTGTTTGCATTGACTGCAGAGACATAAAGCCTGAAAACATTTTAATAAAAGATGAAGTAGAAGACGGATTTTATAGAGTTAAAGTCGCAGACTTCGGCTTAGCAAAGACTATCGAAAATTGCGGTGCATTCGCAACGACTATGGTCGGCACTCCGCAGTATTGGGCTCCTGAAGGTTTGTCTTTGTCTTCTTCTTCTTAATCTTCTTCTTCGTAATCTTCTTCTTATTAATCTTCTTATTAATCTCCTTAATCTTCTTCTCCTTCTTGTTTGGTTTGCTTCGTTTATTTGTTTGTTTGTTTGTTTGTTTGTTTGTTTGTCTTCTTCTTCTTCTTCTCCTTCTTCATCCTCTTGTTTGCTTGTTTGTTTGTTTGCTTGCTTATCTTCTTCTTTTGTTTGTTTCTTGTTTGTTTGTTTTTCCTTTTGATGCTTGTTCTTCTTCTTTTGTAGTGCTTTGCGTGTATTATCATTTCCACAGTTTATAAATATAATTTTTAATTTAATTTTAATTGTTTTTTCTTCTTCAGTTATTAATTCAAGCGGAGGACGGTCGTACGGCTTTGCTGCGGATCTGTGGAGTTTTGGAGTTTGTTTGTTTGTCTTCCTCGGAGGAAATTATCCTTTTGAAGGCAGCCCAGCGTCACTTCAGCAACTCGTACTCAATGGTATATATAATATATATAATCAAATATTATAAATGTCATATATATATTTAATATATCATACGGCACAAGCAGTAGACAAAGACGCAGCTGCAGCAGATATTACTTTTAATTTATCTCTTTTTCTTCTTTCTTCTTTCCTCAGTAGACAATTAAATATTTCTCCACTTACCTTTTTATATTTCTTCTTTCTTTCTCTTAAAACTAATTAAATATTCTTTTCAATTTATATTTTTATTCTTTCTTTCTTTAATAACCAATTAAATATCCCTTTGATTATCTTTCTTACTTTTCTTTCTTTCTTTTAAAACTAATTAAATATTCTTTTCAATTTATATTTTAATTCTTTTTTCCTCAGGAAGATTTCATTTTCGTCATCCCCGGTTTTCTCGCGTCTCCGAAGATGCGAAGAATTTAATTCGTAGGGCGTTGGTGGTGGATGAGAGGAAGAGAATAACAGAAAGAGAAGTGAGTAAATGAATAAATAAATAGATAAATAAATAGATTAATTAATTGAGTAAATAAAGAAATAGAGAAAGAAAATGCATTTATATGATGGCTGTCTCTTTCTGTCTATTTTCTGTTTATCTCTGACTCTGACTTTTTGTGTTTGGAGTTTTTTGTCGCACTCTCTGTCGCTTTCCCTCTCCGTCTTTATTTATTTATTTGTTTATTTATTTATTTATCAGTTAATGCTTTTGTTTGTTTGTTTGTTCGTTTGTTAGTCTCCGTCTCTGTTTGTTTATCTGGTTGTTTCTTTTTTGTTTTGTGCTCTATTTCATTTTCTATTTCTTTTTATTTTGTATTTATTTCCCTTTTCTGTTTCTTTTTATCTTCTTTCTATTGTTTTAGCTTTCTTTTTCTATTTCTCTTTATTTTATATTATTATATTTTCTGTTAATTTCTGTCTAATTTGTTTTTTGATCTTCTTTTTAATGCTGTGTTCAATTTTCTGTTTAATTCCCTTTTAATTTTTTTCAATGTTCTGTTTAACCTCGCGTTTAATTTCTTTTTTGATTTTTCTTTTAATTTTGTGTTCAGATATTTTATCACCCATGGATGACTCGATGGCTGTGTGCGTTTGATCGCTCTCGTTTGCATCTTGAAGACATTAAAACAACAGCATTTCGCTATATGCCTGTTCTTCCTCCTCTTTCATCTCCTTCTTTTCCTTATCCCCCTCCTTCTTGGAGTTACATTGATTCATCTAGTAATGCTGCATCATCTGAATTCGCTGGTGAACACCGCATGCATGCGTCAGCAGCAGCAGCAGCAGCAGCAGGAAGAGGAGGAGGAGGCAGCAGCAGAGCAGCAGCAGATGCTGTTGAATTGCATACTGATGGTGCGGAGTATCCAGGGCTTGCTGCTGGCTCACTTCTTCCTGGTTTTGTTCGGAGCAGCCACCCCGTACCTCCCTTTCATTTACCTTTGCTGCTGCCTTTGCAGCTTCATTTGCTGCTGTCTATACACCTGCTGCTGCTCTCCTTGCGAGGATCTTATCGTTCTTTCCTCTTAGCTCAAAAATTACAAAAAGATTTGTGGGATATACAACGCAGTGTACAGACAGCTGTTGGTTTCTTTGAAACTACTGCTACCTCAGCTATCGAGACCTTTACCGATATATTTGCTCTATTAGAAGAAGATGAAGCTTGCGAAGAAGATGCAGCAGCAGCAGCAGCAGAAACAGAGACTATTACAGAGTTATTCGCTCAGATACGTAGATGGATCTGCGATATGCAGAAAGAAGGGGAACGGTTGGGTCTTCGATATGAAAGAGCTGAGGCGTCTGCTTCAGATTTAATTTGCTGCTTAGTTGCTGCTGTCTCTGCTCCTCTTAAAGAAGACAGCAGCACAAACACCAATAAAAACGACATAAGCAGCAGCAACAACTGCAGCAGCAGCAGCGAGAACGCAGCTGCTGCTCCTGTTGGTGCTGCTGCTGCTGCTGCTGCTGCTGCTGCTTCGAAGCAGGAGCAGATCTCAGCAGCGTTTGGCGTTGCTGCTAGCCAACAGCAAATGCAAAATAATGAAGACAAGTGGAGAGGTGTTAGTAATGACCAGAAAAGGAACAAACACGAGCAGCAGCATCTCCTGCAGCAGCAGCAGCAGCAGCAG